AAATTTTCCTTCTAGTAAATCATGTTGTTTCAGAACAACCCCCAAAAGGGGTAAAATTATCCCCATTTTACAAATGAAGAAACTGATGTTTTTGTAGTTTAAATAACTTGGCATTCCCTGATACACCATGATGCTCCTGAATTTTACTAAAATATTTGTGTAAAATTTGCAAATCACAAATAATCTGAGGATCTATTAATATATTTTCCACATGTACTTAATAGAATCATAGAATATTAGCATTGGAAATAACCCAGAAATCATCTGGTCCAATTTCCTCATTGTGTTTTCCCTTTGGTTTCAGGATAAAATTCTAACTTCCTGTCCCCATCAGATCCCTAAGAGGTGTAGATGTTCCTCAGAGGCCTGTCCTTGAGGCCATCTCTTCATAAGCTCTTCCCAGGGACTCCCAGGACTTCTTCCAGCTCCTATGGGCAGATGAGAGAAGCCAGCTGGGTCTTTAGATAGACCAGCTCCAGATCCACGCTCTTAGCTTCCCGAAGGACACTTGCCATTGCCACTTGACAGCTCTGACCCACTGTGGCCTAAAGTGAACTCTCTTCAGCAATTCCTCCTCCCAGGCTGACTATTCCTGTAAAGGTGACATCGTCCTCCCAGTTCCTTAGGCAGGAAGGCCCAGAGTCATCTTTGATTACCTCTTGCCTCAACAGCTCCCTTCTACCCATTCCCCCAACCAGGTTCAGGCCATCTTCTCTGTGCAAAAAGTCAACAATTTCCCTCCTGCTCATTCCTGTGTCTGGTTCCCTTGTTCTCATCCTTAGTACTCTTGTCTTTATCCCTGAGGCCTGAGACTTGGCATCCTGCCTTGGTACTGCTCCCTTCTTCTTCTTCTTTTTTTTTAAGGGTTAGGAGGTTATGAGGAGGGGTGCTCAGTTTCTTTGTTTGTTTTTGTTTAGACAGAATCTCACTCTGCCACCCTGGGTAGAGTGAAGTGGTGTTACTGTAGCTCACTGCAACCTCCAATTCCCTGGGTTCTAAGCAATCCTGCCTCAGCCTCCCTGGTGGCTGGGACTATGGGTGTGTGTCACAATGCCTGGCTGGATTTCTTTTTTCCTTTATTTTTGCTAGAGACAGGGTCTTGCTCTTGTTCAGGCTACTCTCCAACTCCTGAGCTCAAGTGATCCTCCTGCCTCGGCCTTCCAGAGTGCTAGGATTACAGGCGTGAGCCACTGCACTTGGCTACTGCTCCCTTCTGATTCCTTTTCCATGCTCCATCCCAGATTAACCTACTTAATTCACAGCTCATCATGCTACCTGCCTGCTGAAAACCTTTGCTGCACTATGTCCCCTGACAATTCACCCTTTTTCTTATTTAGTATTATTCCATCTTATGTTCATTCTTATTTCTTCTTAATTATTCTAATTTGGCTTGTATGTGTTCTTGAAAAAAAGTATGTTGCTTTCTATGCACTTTGAAAATTATTCTTACATACTATATATTCCATTTATATGACATTCTTGAAATGACAAAACTGTAGAGATGAACAGATAGGTGGTTTCCAGGGGATGGAGGTGGAGTGGGAGGCAGTCCCACTAGAGTGTTCTTTGGAGGTGATGGAACAGTTCTCTATCTTGATTGTGGTGGTGGTTACACTAATCTATACATGCAATAGAATAATAAAGAACTATCATACATGCAAACACACATACACATACGAATGAACACAGGTTAAAAAATTGTGAAAAAAGATTTAAGGTCTGTACACTAGCTAATAGTAATGTACCAATGTCAATTTCCTGGTTTTGATACTGCACAACAGCTATGTAAGAAGTCACCACTGGGAGAAGCTGAAGGGCACATGGAACTCTTTGTTCTATTTTTGCAATGTTCTGTGAATCTATTATCATTTCAAAATAAAAAGTAAAAAAACCTGTAGAACATACTTTACTATTAACTAAATAGATGCAAAGGGAAACAAGAATGGCATGTATATTTTTTCTAATGCTTACATACATTCTGGGTGCCAACAATGTTTTAAACATTTTACATTTATTAGCTCATTTTATCCTCACAATAACCCTATCAAGTAGGTAGTATCATTATGTCCATTCACAGATTGGGAGATGGAATCACAGAGAGGTTAAGTAACTTGCCCATAGTTACACAGCCAGTAAGTGGCAAAACCAGGATTAAAATCCAGAGTCTCCTTTTAGTCACTATATAGTATACTACCAATGTCAAAGAAGCAAGATGTTGATGCAACCTTTGCAGCAGTTAAAAATATCAGAAATAACTGACAATGTACTAATGCTGAAATATAAATTATATCAATTCTAAGAAAAAAAATCATCCTATCTCAATTAGCCTAAGACCACCACTTAGTCTAGCTAAGCCAGGTATATTGACTTGTTACAATGAGGGAGAACACACAACAGAGAAATTGTCGGGTCTCACTAAACAAAAGAAAAAATGGAGTTATAGGTTTTGGGGGAAGGGTGAAGCATAGAGTTTCGATAAGGCTCAAAGCAAAGCAAGGTTGTGTGAAAGGGCAAACATCAAGACTGGACTTCCAAAGTGGATCTAGGATCATTTTTCCTTGGAGACCACAAAGTTAAGATAGAAGTAGAATGCTGTGTTCAGAAACCCCTTATTTGAAGTTTTGCACCCAGGTTGGAAATCAAGGCTGCTTTCTTTGTCAAAGTGACTTAGGTTATCCAGGCAGAGGAAAATGCTTCCCTCTTGCTGATATTATTTCAAGTAGCAGAAGTTCTGATAGTCTACGATTTTTAGAGAATAAGGTTTCTCGGCAAGAAAAAAGTGGTCCCTCAAAGAAGGGAGTTATGAGCCTTTATAGCTACAGCATGCCCTTGGGAACAAGAATGTTTTCTGTTAATTCTTTGGCCAGCTTCATCTCTGTTATTGCAGCCTAATGAATGGCAGAACAGATTTTTACTTTCAGTACTAATTTCTGCTTTTTCAAAGTTCATGTCAGTGGTATTATGTTTTCTATCTTATTCTATTTCTTACTCTCTTCCCCACTAACCTGTATTTAAAAATTGACCTTTCCTTTTCAACTCCCACAGAGCTCAACCTGCACATCTTTGCCATCCATGTTGTGATGTGAAAATTCATTCTGCTGATTCGAAGCACTGCACTCATGATGTGCAAACACATTTTATTTCCACGCTCTCCCAGCAAATGGGGACACCTAGGTTTGTGCCAATTCTCTATTACCACAAAAAAATGCTGCAATTAATGTTGCACATGTTCCCTTATGGGCCTACATAAGAATTTTGGGGGGGTTAAAATTCAGAAATAGAACTGCTGGTTTCTAGGGTTTATTTTATTTTATTTTATTTTTTTTTGAGACAGAGTCTCACTCTGTCACCCTGAGTAGAGTACAGTGGCATCATCACAGCTCACTGTAACCTCAAACTCCTGGGCTCCAGGGGTTCTTCTGCCTCAGCCTCCTGAGTAACTGGGACTGCAGGTGTGCACCATTACGCCTGGCTAATTTTTTCTTTTTTTTTCTTTTTTTTTTTTTTTTTTTTAGCAGAAATGGGATCTTGCTTTTGTTCAGCCTGGTCTGGAACTCCTGAGCTCAATGGATCCTCTCACCTCAGCCTCCCAAAGAACTGGGATTACAGGTGTGAGCCACCTCACCCGGCCTTTCTATTCTTAATTGAAGTAAGGAGTGCTGGGCTCCCCTCCAGAATGGTTGTACCAGGCTTCTAACACCAAGGCAAAAGAACTTCTCTGAGCCCACAGGCAGGCCAATCCTTGGGTCATCCAACTTCCTAAGTTTTTGCCAGACTCTCTGCTGTAAAGTGATTATCTCATTATTGCTTTCATTTTCATTTCTTTGGTTAAGAGTTCAAACATCTCTACATGAGCTTGATAGTTTTTGGATTTGCTCTCCTGTGTATTGCCTGTTCATATCCTTTGCTCCAACATTATTCATAAAGTAAAAACCTACCCTTCCTCAGTTTGGCATTTGTGGCCCCCTAAACAGGCCCCCAATGCTAAAGGCTTACTTCTCACAACTGCCCTTTGCTCATGCTGCCTGTAGTCCAGCAACAATTCTTCTGTCTTTGTCTTTGCTGTACCCTTGGCTTGGATTACACTACTTTCCCATAACCCCGAATCTAACATGTTGGAAGTCCTAAATATTCTTTAGAACCCAGCTCAAATATCATCTGCTATAAGAGTTCCTTTATTTGCTCAGCTGGCATTGACCTTTCCCTCTTAGCTCCTACAGAGCTCAACCTGTGTTTCTTGTTTCCATCTATGACAGAACACCTTCCACTCTGGCTATGGATATGTGGGTCACCTCCCCACAAGGACAGATATCAGGTTGTTGATGTGTGCAAAGAAAGATTCAAAAGAAATATTAAGAGTTTTAAAATCAGTGAATTTTTACTTTCTTCTTTGTAGTTTTTTTTTTTTTTTTTTTGAGACAGAATCTCACTTTGTTGCCTAGGCTAGAGTGAGTGCCGTGGGGTCAGCCTAGCTCACAGCAACCTCAAACTCCTGGGCTCAAGCAATCCTGCTGCCTCAGCCTCCCAAGTAGCTGGGACTACAGGCATGCGCCACCATGCCCGGCTAATTTTTTCTCTATATATTAGTTGGCCAATTAATTTCTTTCTATTTATAGTAGAGAAGGGGTCTTGCTCTTGCTCAGGCTGGTTTCGAACTCCTGACCTTGAGCAATCCACCTGCCTCAGCCTCCCAGAGTGCTAGGATTACAGGCGTGAGCCACCGCGCCCAGCCTCTTCTTTGTAGTTTTCTTTAGCCAGTGTTTTTAAACCATAGGTTGTAACCCCTAGTAAAATTAATTTACTTGGTAGAGATCACTTTGTTCTTTCATTTTGCCCTTTTGTGAGAGGCAGAAGAGAAAATAGAGTATATCACAAATAGGATCATTTTGTGAAACTTCTTACAATTTATATTTTTGTGTGAATGTGACTGGGATGTCACATGTAAAGTGTATTTCTTACTGCAGGTTGCTGTCAGGAGAATTGTGCTGTATTGTACTTACATTGATTTTATTTGTGTCTATTCCACATCTCCATCAGTTTCCCCTGAAGCAATGACCCTAATACAAAAGAAAAGCAAAACACAAAACCTAGGCTCAAATTCCACCTTGGCCACTTTTTAGATAAGTAACTCATGTTCCAGGTGTCTTGTCTTCACTAGAAATTTCTTTACCTGTAAAACAGGAAAACAGCCCTTTCTCCTTTCCAGGGTTGTTGTGGACTCAAATGAGAGGCTGTTAGTGAAAGGCTTTTTTCAGTCATAAGGCATCCAGGAACCCAGCTATTCTTACTGCCTGGGCCAGTAAGTCTAGATGAGTCTAGGTGGCTCTTTAGATGCTAATCACATAGAGATAATTTACCCATTATTTGGCAAACATTTGTCTTATTTCACAACAGGATTATAATATTCCCAAGGGAAAGATCTAGCATCTGTGTCAATTGATGTCTATCATATTAATGAAATTGCTAATGATTATTAATTTATTGTCATGTTGAGACTCTGCTCTAAGCACTTTGTAGGACTGTATTTATGTCATTTTATACCCACAGCAATACTATGAAATAGGTATATTTATTGTCACTATTTTACACATATTAAACAGACACTGGGCTGCTATTCTAGCCCCATATATTTTTTCTTCTAGCTCTTCCCATATGTATGCTAGTTGCCAATATGGTTCAGGCCTTTTCATGAAGCATCTGGCCAAGGGCCATCAACATCTCCCTGTCCTGCTCCCAGAAGCTAAGAGTTTCCCAAGTAGAAACATAGCCTGTCCCCTAACCCCCACACTTATGGACACAGGGAGGGTGGGTAGTGATGCACAGCTGTCATGCTTAGTTTTATATGTACACAGTGACTGATAGAAGGGCCTTTTGGAGGTGGAGAGTGCAAGGGTACTTAAAGAAGACCAGGGGAAGTCTGGGCCTGCTTCCTGAGGGCCCTCCTAGGAGGCTTAGAACTCAGGAACTGTAGTGGATTGAAGAGTGTTCCCCAAAATTCATGTCCACCCAGAACCTCAGAATGTGGACTCATTTGGAAATAGGGTCTTTGCAGAGGTAATTAGTTAAGGATCTTGAGATGAAATCATCCTGGATTTAGGGTGGGACTTAAATTCAATGACTGGTATAAGAGAAAGGAGAGAAAGATTTGAACACACAGAGACACAAGGAAGATATCCATGTGAGGATGGAGGCAGAGTTACGCTGTCACAAGCCACGGAACAGCAGGAGCCACCAGGAGCTGAAAGAGGCAAAGAAGGATTCTTTCCTAGAGTCTTTGGAGGGAGCATGGTGCTTTGATTTCAGCCCCTGGTCGCCAGAAGTGTGAAAGAATAAACTTATGTTGTTTTAAGGCACGAAGTTTGTGGAAATTTGTTCTGGCAACCCTAGGAAACTAATGCATGTTGAGCATCCCTTATCCAAAATGCTTGGGACCAGAAGTGTTTCCGATTTCAGATTTTTTCACATTTTGGAATATTTGCAGATACATAATGAGATCTTGGGGATCCAAACACAAAATTCATTTATGTTTCATATATTCCTTACATACACACCATGGTCCAGTTTCTCCAACAGCTTGACTTTCTGTGCTATCAACATAAATGCTTCCTTTTTAAAAAAAATTATCACTGTTATCCATAGGGGTATCTGCAGGCTGTTTCTATGTTTTCCACAATATTGTTTTACAACAGAGAAGAGAATAAGCAAAAAGGCATAGTAATGCCCATAGGCCGCTGCCCCATGTGGGGCATCATGTGGAAGCTGCAGTTGGTGTCAGCCCTGCCTTCCTGCAGTTTTATTGCCCTTTGTGGGTGTGCGTGCCTGAGGCATCTGGGTGTGTGGAACTGGGAGGGCCATTTTTCCCTTGGGGATGTTGAGTAAACTGTGTATTGTGTGTCTGCATTTTGATGACAACCACGCACATGAAGTCAGGTGTGGAATTTTCCACTTGGCATCATGTTGGTGGCACTCAAACATTTTTTGGATTTGGGAGCATTTAGGATTTCAGGTTAGGGATGCTCAACCCATACAGTGTCCTAGCAGCAATCTAGGTGTGAGCTTTCCTCAAGGGCAAGCAGGGCTTGCCACTATTGCTATGGGCCCACAGTGAAGCCAGCCGGTGGCCTTTCTGCCCCAGGTGGCCTCTGTGAGCTCTGCAGAGAGCCATGGTGAGGGAGGCCAACAGTCGTCTAGGAGAGCTCAGTGCCACTTGCAAAGACAGGAGATGCCTCCAGAGCTCTGGGCTGAGGAGGTCAGGGAGGCCGGTGAGGCCCGTGAAAGAACTAACTAGTCTGAAGCAAGGAAAGGTTCATGTGGGGTCCTGAGTCTCCCATTCCTGGTCCCTTTTTCTCCTCTGCTGCCCCCTTCCTTTCCCCTTTCCCTTCTTCCCTCCAAGTATACCTTATAGTCTGCTACTGATCACACTCAAATCTCCCTCCCCCAAATAAAAAGAACCTAGTGTCTTCTGTGAGTGTAAGAATGGCGTATTAGTTTCCTACTGCTGCTTTCATATATTACTACAAACTTAGTGGCTTAAAGCAAATTTATTGTCTTATAGTTCTGGAGGTCAGAAGCCCAAAATGAATCTTAAGTGGCTAAAACATGTGTCTGAGGGACTGTGTCATTCTGGAGGCTCCAGGGGGAGAATCAGTTTCTTGACTCTTCTAGCTTCTAGAAACTGGCATTTTTTGGCCCCTGGCCACATCACTCTAATCTCTGCTTCTTTCAACACCACCTTCTCTCTCACAGGCCCTCTTATCTCCCTCTAATGACTCATGTGATTACATTTACCACTCTTAGTGATAATTTAAGATAAGCTCTCCATCTCAAGATCCTTAATGTATTCACATCTGCAAAGTCCCTTTGCCTATAAGGTAACATATTCACAAATTCCAGGGATCGGGGCATGGATATCTTTGGGGGAGCTATTGTTCAGTCTGCCACAAATGTACACCCCTCCTTAAAGCATCTCCTTTCAAGCACTGATCCCATTGCAGGGGTTGCTAGTGGGGAACTCTGCCCTCAGTGAAGGCCACCAGAGCGGGCTAATGTAGACTTTAGCCATTTGTGGGCAAAGGGTACAGCCCAGGGCACCTACGTGCTCCCTCTTTGGGGGCCAATCTGGAAATTCCTTCTAGAGTTCAGGTTATACCAGTTCCTGGCCTGCAAATTCCTGAGAATTCCGAGAGCTGGGAGGGGCCTGCGTACTGTGCCCTTTGAGAATTCAGAGGCCAGTGGAATCAGGTCCCTCATCAGGCATTTCCTGCTCCTCTCCTATGCTCCAGGCACCATCAGGATGCCAGCTTACAGAAAGGAACAGGGCAAAACGCCCACCCTGATGGAACTTAGAATCTGGTGGGGAATTAGAAGGTAAATTAATTCTGGGGAACTGCTAAAACAGAAAAAGGGTATGTTCGTTAGAACTCGAGGGGAATGATGTCTGTTTGCCTGAGAAGGAGCCGTAGAGATGATGCTGGTGGCGGCTGCTTTGGTGGGACCCAAAAGGAAAGTTTCACAGGGCTGAATCCTGAAGACAGTATGCCTATCAAGAATGGGAAGATATTTGGACAGAAAAGAAGTTTTGACAAGTCATAAGCATAGTTAGGAATTGCAGACATTGGGCAGAACAAACTTGTGTAACTAGGGGAATAGCTAATGAACATCCAGTCAAAAGCCAGGAGAGATTTACAGTTTAGAGGTTATAAGAAGATTTACTTTTATTAATTATTTTGAATAGATAACATTACATTTTTACTATTGTCCATTTTGGATCAGATACTATACTTGCCACTTTATGGGAATTATTTCTTTAGGTATCTCCAAACAACACCATCAGGTAGGTACCATTATTCCATTTCACAGATGAGGAACTGAGGCCTGGTGAGATTAAACATCTACCCAAGTCACACAACAGGTAGTAAGAGGCAGAACCAGGGCTCTAACTGAAGCCTGTGGCCTTGCACTTAGTTTCTGCTTCTCTGTGCTGACTTTGACATGTGCATATGGATTTTATTCTGAAGGTAAAAGTGTGGAGAGCATGGAAAGGTTTTAAAGCATAGGAGTGACAAGTTCAGCTCTGGCACAGGGTGGAAGTTTTTCTCTATTTGATGATAGTGGAGTCGGTGGGAGGGGGTAAGTGGGGTAGAGAAGAGTCCACTGAAGCAGTGAGGCCCACAACCCTGTGCATCATGTGCCTCCTGTATGACTTCCCCTCTGAGCTTCCTGTGCAAACTCTTCACTTGGTGTTCTTTCTTTTTATTTATTTATTTTCTTTGAGATAGAGTCTCACTCTGTCACCTGGGCTAGAGTACCAATGCATTATCCTTAGCTCACAGCAACCTCAAACTCCTGGGCTCAAGGGATCTTCCTTTCTCAGTATCCCAAGTAGCTGGGACTTATAGGTGCACATCACCACATCCGGCTAATTTTTTCTATTTTTAGTAGAGACAGGGTCTTACACTTGCTCAGGCTGGTCTTGAACTCCTGCCCTCAAGTGATTCTCCCATCTTGGCCACTCAGAATAAGAGTGCTCGGATTATAGGTGTGAGTCATCACCTCACCCGGCCTTCCTTCACTTGGAGTTTTCTGCTTAAGCATATGAACTTTGGAGTCCTTGCACAATGGACAAAATCCCTGGCACTTAATAGTTGTGGGAACTTGGGCAAAATACTCAAAGCTCCTAGGCTGTAAAGTAAGGATGATAAAACATCTACTTGTTTTGCAGGCTTGTGATTAAAAGAGGTATGAAATATAAAGCATTGTCATCAGTCACTGAGCTTAATTAACATTATTTCTGAACTTTGGTGCACAATATAGCCCTGTTGATATCGCTGTTCCCTCCTTGGGGCATACTTTTTCTTGGTGGTCCCCATCCCTCTCCAGCTATCCTTCTTTCTCTTGGCATTCTCCTAATCTACTGACTCTTGCAATGTTCCTGCTCGCTCAGTGTGCCTGCCTCAGTCCTTTCTCCTTCTCCCTAACCCCTGAGTAGATCTCACCTAATTCCGTGCCTTTGGTCATCCTTCTGTCTCTGCTGAAAGCTTCCCCACAAGTGTCTCCAGCTGAGCCCCTTTATTAAATAGATTAATATTCCTAACTCCTGGTGGATGTGTTCTAGGTGGATAACAGGAACCTCAATTTTAATGTCAGGAGGGCCTATATGCATCTTCTTGGCTCAAGAGCAATTTATTCTCCCTGCATTCTCCATCTTAGTGACATGTACCATCATCTCCTAGCTCCTCAGGCCAGAAGGTCCTTTCTCTCTGTTCTCCAAATGCCTAAATCACCAAATCTTATTAAATCTACCTTCTACAATTACCTCACATCCATCACTTCCTCTGTCCACTCGAGCACTGCCTTAGCTAAGGCCACCTTCAATTATGATCAAAGGACCCAGAGTCTAATTAACAATACCAGTTTCATGGCAGACTTTTCCTGGAATCAGGCTGGACTTAAGAATTTTCGAGAGAATGTAAATTGTTTTTTGCTTGATTTTCTTTTCTTTAAGACTAATCTGAAATCAAGGAACTCCTTATGTACCTAAAATGATTAGATTTTGATACTGACATAAAAATTGGGTACTACTTTGTCCCAGTTTCTCAAACCAACAAAGATATTCCAAAAGCTTCCTCTTAGGCCTAGGAAGTTTGGCTTTCACAAGATAGTGTCAGGAATGTCAACCTTATCCTGTTATCAAAAAGGTGTCAAAGCTGTCACTAAACTGCCTGGTGCAGTTTGGGAAGCACCCCCCCCCCCTTAAGGCACTGGAGAATTCCTCACAGTCCTTCCAGATCATGCTTACAGTGGGAGCCAGATTCTGTTGCCCTGGCCCTGTGGGGAAAATCCCCAAGATGGCTGCAGATAGACAAGGCAGCAGTAAACTGCCAAGGTCTGACCCTTGGCAGGGTGAGAGAGATTGGGTCATAGGCTGAACTTCCTCAGAAAGTGAGTGTACATACACTCATTTGTACTGCCTGTTGCTTCCTCACGCTATGCGAGGGCAGGGGGCTCAGTCTGGCTGAGTGAAGAACCTATGGACCTCTTTCATAGTCAATGCCCAGAGCCTCCGTTGTGCAGCCATGGAAGAGAGAACATGAGGCAGACAGGCGGTTGCCCTCAGGGTGCTTACAGGGGGCTTACAAGGTGTCAAGCAGGGAGGGCCTCCACTGTCCCACACCAGCCAAGAGAGACTACCCAGTGTGCCTTTCTCTATGTCCTCTTTCACAGTCACATTGTACACCCTGCAATCTTCGAGTCTGGTGAGTAACCAGTCCACTGTCACAGTAGGAGGGGCAGAAGAGGGCAGAGAAGTGAGACAGGTGAAGGCAGGACACAGACGTTCCCGCCAAGCTAGTCAAGGATCACTCCCTGAACTGCCTTTGCCATGACATGCACAGGTTGTCTCAAATCCCAGGGCCAGGGGGAGGTCTTGGGTATCTCTGGTATTTTAAGTTGGCTGGCATCTCGCTTTTAAATCTGATTTAGTTTCAGTTCAGGGAGTGATCCTTGGGGGAAAGTTCCCTGACATGGAAATCTACATGCTCAGGGGTCTGCTCACCTACTAATGGCTCTGACACACTGGAAGGTCACTCATGCTCAGAGAACTTCAGGCTGCACCTTTGAAAGCAAAGTTCAATGGATGAGGTGCTGGGTACAAAGGTGTTGTCCCCAACAGCTCTAAGTAATTGCCACTTCTGCTTATAACTCAGAGTACAGATCCCAAGGATCCCATCATCCAATGTGGGTCTGTGCAGGGAATGAGGTCCTGGGCAGGGACCCAGGACCTGTATTAGTTTGGGGCCTGTATTAGTTTTCTAGGGATAACATAACAAAAAAGCACAGAAATTAATTTTCTCACCATTCTGGAGGCTAGAAGTCCAAGATCAAGGTATTGAGGGCTCTCTCCTTGGCTTGCAGATGGTTGTCCCTCTGTCTTCTAATTTCTTTATAAGAACACCAGTCATCTTGGATTGGGACCACCCTAATGAACACATTTTAAGTTAATTAATTAATTTGTCAATTTAACTTAATTTGTTTTTTGTACAGACAGGGTCTTGCTACATTGCCCAGACTGGTCTTGAACTCCGAGGCTCAAGAAATCCTCTTGCCTCAGCCTCCCAAAATGCTGGGGTTACAGGCAGGAGTCACCCTGCCCTTACCTACCTTTTTAAAGGTCCTGTCTCCAAATATGGTCACCTTCTGAGGTACTGGGAGTAGGGCTTCAACATATAAATCTGGGCTTGAGGAGGAGGGTAGGTGCACAATTCAGCACAATTACAGCGTTTATATTCTGAAAATCCCTGTGAGACTGGAACTAAAAACCGTGGCACCTCATGTCGGGAATGGCCACAGTCCATGTTGCCTCTCCCTTTTTTTCACACTCCTTTTGAAGGGCAAAAAGCTTTTCAAAAGTGTATCTGCTTGTTTTTACTCCCCTCTGGGAATTTTCATCAGTCTTGTAATGCTTTTCCCTATAACTGTGCAGACACAAAACAAAAGCAAACTCTAGCCATTTCCAGGTACAAATAATATAGGGTACAAATGATATAGGGTACAAGTCTTGTGTAGTGTGGACTCTGCAATACCACTCCAGTTGAACAGGCTCAGTCCTAAGAGACCAAGAGGCCTCAGACTTCCACTCTCACCTGGTGCAGGAATTGTCTCCCTAACCTAGCTTCAAGTCTGGTCTCACAGCTCAGATGCAGGTAGGAGAGGGACACGTTCTGCTTTCCATTGGTTAATTGCTGCCCAGTAACTTCGACTCAGAGCCTAGCGCTGGTTCACATCTTGAATATGTACACAGTACAGTGCTAACGTCTGATTTTACAATACGCCAGAAAAGGCAAGGGACCCTCAGCTGGTGACTTCCCTCCCTAGGCCTAGGGCCTCCCCTGGTGAAGCGTTTCGGCGGGAGCGGAGGCCGCCGGCGCGAGCCAACGGGCGCGCCGCCGTCGGCTCCGGGAAAAGGCCAGCCCAGCCCAGCCGCGCCAGGGAACTGCGAATCTCCAGCGTCCCCTAGTGACTCCCGGCCTCAACTCATTCTCCCCACGGACGCCCTTCTCCTCACCGCCAGCCCATCCCCACCCCCACCCCCACCCCCGGCAAATACCAATTCTGCGCCGCCGTCGCCTAGAATTAGACGCCTCAGGCCGGCCGCTGTGGGAGGGCCAGCGGCCGTCCAGAGGTGCAAACCTGCGTGTCCCGGCCGCGCGCAAGGACGCAGCGGCAACCTCGCCGGCCCACACAAGCAAGCTGACCGAACTCCGTTACAGCCCGAAATGGCACCGCAGGAAGGGACTGGACCGATACCTGACCTCCAACACTTCACCCGGAGGCTGACTAGTTAACGCTTTCCCCGTTCTAGGGCCGGAGGGAAGAGCACGGAGGGCAAGCGATACAGCTCCTTCCGAGTGCTGCTGTGGGTGGCTCTGAAAAGAGCCTTTGGATGTGATGGAACCTAGAGCCGAGCGCGCGTTTCTTAAGCCCGCTCCCCGCGGATGCGGCGGGCCAGCTGGATGTCCTTGGGCATGATGGTCACTCGCTTGGCGTGGATGGCACACAGGTTCGTGTCTTCGAACAACCCCACCAGGTAGGCCTCGCTCGCCTCCTGCAGCGCCATCACGGCCGAGCTCTGGAAGCGCAGGTCCGTCTTGAAGTCCTGCGCGATCTCGCGCACCAGCCGCTGGAAGGGCAGCTTGCGGATCAGCAGCTCGGTGGACTTCTGGTAGCGCCGGATCTCCCGCAGGCGCGCTAAGACAGGGAAAAGGGGTACGGTGGGGAGCGCGTTCTAAGGAGGTGAAAGGCTGGGAGAACAATCTGACAAAGCTGCAATCGAAAATGACTTTCGTCCTGGAAGAATGAGGAAAAAAAAGACTGGAAAACTGTTGGCCAACCGCAAAGCAGAAAGGGAGGCGAGGAGGCGGGTTAGAGAGGACTCTGCCAAGCCAACCGGTGACTCTGGCACCGGAACGTCACGGCCAATGGACAGCCAGCGCGGACTTTCAATTACCGTCCCGCCCAATCGGGCAAAAGACTGTGCCTATAAAGACTGCTTGCCGCCGCCGGGATTCCGTTTCTGCCCCTGCCGCGGCGTCGGTGAGCTCGCGTTCTGTTTCGCTATGGCCCGCACAAAGCAACCGCCCGCAAGTCGACCGGTGGCAAGGCCCGAGGAAGCAGCTGGCCACCAAGGCGGCCCGCAAGAGCGCGCCGGCCACGGGCGGCGTGAAGAAGCCGCACCGCTACCGGCCGGCACCGGG